TACTCATATAATTATATTACATATCACAAATATCAATACTATATTTACAATACATACATGACAGAGTATGGATATATCCACAGGAACATTCTAATTAACACTGTTTTTTTTAAATTAAAGTTTCATTTAAAGCTTCAGTAATAGCAGAAAGAATAGACTGGGGCCACAATGTCAAAAAAATATTACACATGTTGTTGTGTGGACTCTATGAACCTATTGTATGGATGCTTTTGGAAATGAAGTTCAAGGCAGATTTGTTCGTATATGTATAACAGTGTGTATTCTGGAACCAAGGAGGCTTTTTATTTTTAAAGGAGAGTCGTTGTAGGTGTTGTAGAGTCTGGAGAGAGAAACAAACGCGCGGAAAAGAAGCTGTGATGAAGGCAATAAAAAAAGAAGAAAACTAAATACTCTTTACAGATCATAACGTTTTTTTGCAGGTGGGGAGATGGGAGACAGGGGGGGTATCTTGTATCACCCAATGGAATACACTGATGGCAGGTTTTATATATATATCTTGGCATCTGTTGATATATACTTGGATAGAAGGAGTTGGTTCTGTGATTTTCATTTTTTATTTTGGGTGTGGCATGATGTCCAGAGATATTTATTATACCTAAAAATAATTGACTTTTTTTTTTAAATGTACTGAAAGTGCACTTTGGAATGTGACATAAGATTATGTCATTATCATAAATAGTAAAACAAAGATAATCGCCAGATCAAAACTGATCAAAAATGCCACACTAAAACACTGCCAAAGACATAGCTGGTTTCGAGACTAATTTCGAAAAAGACTACTAGAGAAATAATCGAGTCTACCCACTCGACACGTTTCTGAATGGGTGAAAATACACACACACACAGATAATAAAAAAAAGAGAAAAAAAAAAGAAAAAAAAACTAACATCACTCCATAGGAAGAAAGAGATAAATATACATTTCTATACTGAGAAGAGTATCGTGGATTCGAGTCTGCGAGGCGAGCTGAGCGCCGGGCTTCGCAAACCGTCAGACTAGCGGAGGGAAAAGGTCGGAGTGGATTTCGTTTCACTCCCAATTTCTTGTCAGACTTTATACAGAGCAATTGTAAAAGTTGGTGTGTTGAGGGTGTGGCGATTCTTCACTTCCGTGGGTTTCTTCTATTTTCTTTAATTGTCTGATTTAATCCTTTTTTTAAAAAGAAAGATGAAACACACTCGAAGGTATTGGTGATATCGATTCGAGATTTCCGTATCGTGATTCGCACACACTGAACCGCGTAACTGGGGGATGCAACCTCACACAACGCGGGCCGAGGAAGTCGTGCCTTCTCTCGGGCCGCAGTTTCCCTTTGTATCACTCTATGTACACATTCCTTCTTCACGTATGTACATACCATAGGCTAACACCACGTTTGGTAACACTGGAGGCGAGTAGAAATCCGAGCGTGTTGGGGCCGGGCCTCGACTCCGCACAACGAGCGCGTTGTGGGGGAGGACCTCCGCCGGGAATGGATCTGGAATGGATCTGGAGAGACTGGCTGAATGGAGACGCGATGGAAGCTCAGCGGCCGACGCGTGCTCGAGGTGGAGGCGTTACCAACATGACGCAAGTCCTTCAGCAGGTCGATATGTAAGTAGCGTCGCCCAGGCGACTACTGGCGCTCACGGTCGAAGCGCTGATGCCCGCATAGATAAGAGAGGGAGACATCATCTATCTCTCTGGGAGATAATGGCGTCTGCTCTGGCCTCGCCTAGGCGAAGGACTGACTGTCGAGGTCGACCGAGAGCGACTGCTTCCCCCCCCGGTCCGTCCAGTACTTTAGCTTGCCTCGCAGCTCCTCCAAGGAGCGCGACTTGGCCTTGTTGATGCGTCTGTACTTGACGTCTTTGGGCTTGGTAACGGATCTGTGGTTGCTCATGACGCGGTTGTACGTCACCTGGATCTCCTCGTCCAGCCGGGCCTTCGCGGGCGCCGTCGCCGCCAGAGTGTTGAGCTTCTCGTACGACCCCAGCAGCTGCCGCCTGTCGCCGCAGGAGTCGTCGAGCGGCCGGAGCTCCTCGTCGTCGTCGTCCGCGTCGTCGCTCTCGCCGTCGCTCAGGGTGGCGTCGGAGTCGTAGTGGGAGGACGACTTGAGGATGGAGTGGAGGGAGGGCGCGATGGAGGGCGTGGCGCTGGAGGCGTCGCCCAGCAAGGAGTCGCGCTCCGTGTGGGCGTGGCAGACCTCCTCCTCGTCCAAGCTGTACACCGTCCGCAGCAGCTCGGCGCGGCCCTTGGTGAGCGTGCAGGAGGGGCTGTCGTCGCTCTCCTCGCTGGAGCAGGAGGGCGACGTCGAGAGGGAGCCCGGGCCCGTGCCGCCGCTGTAGCCGGGCTTCAGGAGCGAGGCGGTGGCGGCGCCGGGGGAGGGCGCGGCGAGGATGTCCTGGCCGGGGGCGGCGCAGCAGGAGGGCCTGTTGGCCACCTCCACGGCGTCCGACACGCTCCTCACCACCTTGACCTCGCCCTTGCCCATCGGGATGAGGACCAGGGAGTCGAAGTTGTCCTCGAGCATGATGGCGCTGTCGCTGTCGTTGAGGCTCTCGGGGTCGCTCTTGGTGGACGTGAAGAGCAGGCTGGACGGCTTCTCGGCCTTCCCGGGGCCGTCCTCGCCCGCCTCGCCCCTGCCCGCGTCCTCCTTGGCGGCGTCCTCCTTCGGGGCCTTCGGGGAGGACTCGGACGCCTGGCGCGCCCGCAGGCTGTTGTTGAGCGCCCGCGAGAGCGACACGATCACGTGCTGCTGCTGCCGGACGGTCGCGTCCTTCTGCTTCATCAGCGCTTCCACCTCCTTCTGGCGGCGGCGCAGCTGGGACTCGAACAGCAGCAGCTGAGACTGAATCTGGCGGAGGTGGTCATCTCGCTCGCGTTGCAGGTGCAGCATCATCACATTCTGCAATGAAAGTCAACATATCAGTACTCTGTCAATACGATCCTTGTAGTCTGCATTGATAACACACAATAACCTTAAGATTAGGATAGAGTAGAACCTGCACACTTCAAAACAAAAGATTTAAAAAAAGGGAAACTCGTTCCAAGCGCAGACGCCCCGCGCACCAAACCGGAGTGGACATGACGACCCTCCCTTCGCAGTCCCACCAAACAGACGCCTCCCTTCCACCTCCGTCCCTTCCCGACGTAGCTGACCCATTACTGATTCCCCCTCTGATTGTTCCAAGCTGAAAGGAATTCTCAAGTCACATCAGATGAAAAGCCTTCCGCCGTTTGGTATTCTGGTCACCGGGACCGAGTGGAGACAGGGGGGGGGGGAGATCTGCATGCTGCCAGGAAGGTCTTGGTCTCGCTTGTTAACGTCGTGTCTTCGGACTAACAGTTTGTTTGGGATAATTTGTCTAAGTGCTCTCTCGCTCTGATTGAGATTACAGTCGCTACTACACGGCTGAGGAGCGAGCATTTGTCTCTGGTCTTTTCTTTGGTCGGTTTTGACTGATTTGCGTGTCTGCGAGTTCGGTTTTTAACTTTTCAGGATGTAAAAAAAACAAAACATTGACAGCTTGTTCAGCACTTCCAAACGCTTTTGATCAATTGCAATTATCAGTTTTTAAAAAATATATCAATTAATAATTTACCTTTTCTTGTGTGTGTGTGTGTGTGTGTGTGTGTGTGTGTGTGTGTGTGTGTGTGTGTGTGTGTACGCGCGCGCGCGTGTGTGCGTGTACGCGTGCGTGCATGTGTAGTACGTTAAAGCGTAATGTAGGAACTTGAACCAACCCCATCGCTAATCGAAGCCAAAATCTTGAATTCGACTATTTATGTGAAGACGAGAGCAAAGCCGCATTCACATATACATCTATAACTAACTTCCTCGAACCTCCTCAGTCACAGGCAATATCCACAGAGGGTTTTTATTCCGCTCTGCACTTTTTTTTTTTTTTTTTTTTTTTTTTTTTTAAATCTCTGACATGATTTATTTTGGTTTTATTGATAACTTTCAATCAACGTAATGGTACCACTAAGGTGGTTATTAAATACACCATCGGATGCCAACATCAACTGCCTTCGATGACTAGAAGATACTTTTTTTTTTTTTACTTCATATTCACACGCACACAAACAGGCAGACAGATAGATAGATAGATACAGACAGACAGGCAGACACACACACACACGCACAGAGGCAGGCAGGCAGACATAGATAGACACAGACACACACATCCCCTCTCCCCACACATTCTACCCCCTAAACCCCCCTACCCCCACACGCCGCGTCGTCAGCGTGATTTTTTGCCTCCCCGCTCGCAGGCCGCGCCGGTGACCCAACCCAAATACCAACGCGAGACGAGGAAGGCGGTCGCTCGCTTCAACACCGCCGCCGCCTCCGCCTCCGTCGCCGTCGGCCTCCCTCCGTCCTCTTGGTGTTGGTCTCTCTCTCTCTCTCTCTCTCTTTCTCTCTCTCTCTCTATTTTTCTTTCTCTCTCATTTCTCCTTTTCTTTCTCTTTATTTTTCTCTCTGCAGGTGTACATGCGTGTGTCTCTTTCTCCTATCCTCCCTCTCCATCCCTCTTCCTCTCCTTCTCCTACCCTTCCTCCCTCTCTCCCTCTCCCTCCCTCCTCCCTCTCTCCCTCTCCCTCCCTCCTCCCTCTCCCTCCCTCCTCCCTCCTTCCTCTCCCTCTCCCCTTCCCTCCAACCCTCCCCCCTCTCCCCCCCCCCTCTCCCTCCCTCCCTTCTTCCAGGTACTGCAGAATGACCCTCATGCACGACATACGCGCGTCTTCGGTTGCAGTTGCGTGTAAAGTGGGGGGAGGGGGGGGAGTAGTGGAAGGGAGGGATGAAGGGGAGGATGAGAGAATGAGAGAGAGAAAAAAAAAGTGTCAGAGAGAAGGGAAGGGGGGTGTGGGGGTGGGGGGATGGAGAGAAATGGAAGCAGAGGTAGAAATTGTAGCAGTAGTTGTAGTAGTAGTAGTAGTAGATGAAGAAAAGGCGAGAGAACGAGAAAATGTGAAGAGGAAAAAGGGGGAATGAGAGAATGTGAATAGAAAAAAATGAAAGAACAAGAAAGGAAAACGAAGGAGAGAGAGAGGAGAGAGAACAGAAGATGCAGAAACACCAGGAAAGGGAGAGGGAGAGAGGAGAGAGAGGAGAGAGAGAGGAGAGAGAGAGGAGAGAGAGAGGAGAGAGAGAGGAGAGAGAGAGGAGAGAGAGAGGAGAGAGAGGAGAGAGAGGAGAGAGAGAGAGAGAGAGAGAGAGAGAGAGAGAGAGAGAGAGAGAGAGAGAGAGAGAGAGAGAGAGAGAGAGAGAGAGAGAGAGAGAGAGAGAGGCAGACAGTAACTTCCCGCCCTCTAATATTCCTGTACGACAAGCACATCACCAGGAACGCGATGCCAGACGTATGCAAATAACCCTGCACACGCGCACGTCGACAATGAAGATGACAAGTTCCCAATTAATGGACAGATTAATAAATGAATCCATAAGTGAACCGATAACATAAGCAAATTTGAAAGAACAGTCAAAACCTTTGACTTGATCACAGGATTAAGGAAGAAAGGTGACTGGCGAGAGAAAAATACTGATTTAGTGCCATGACTTCGCCAAAACAGTTTATCGTACTTGTGCAAGTTGTCATCCACAGGAGCTAAACCGGTCATCTCGCGGGGGAAAAAAAGCAAACACACACACACACACACACACACACACACACACACACACATACAAACGCACACACACACACACAAACTGGAGACTTTAAAAGGACACTACGTCACTAAAATCCATTAGTTGAAAATCCACCACAATGGTCTATGCTTCCACTCTCCCCCTACTCCCTACCCTTCCCTACCCCCCCTCTCCCTCTCTCTCTCTCTCCCTTCTTCCTGTCTGTCTGTCTGATTCTCTCCCTCTCTTTATGTGTGTGTTAATGTGTGTGTGTGTGTGTGTGTGTGTGTGTGTGTGTGTGTGTGTGTGTGTGTGTGTGTGTGTGTGTGTGCGAGAGAGAGAGAGAGAGAGAGAGAGAGAGAGAGAGAGAGAGAGAGAGAGAGAGAGAGAGAGAGAGAGAGAGAGAGAGAGAG